AATAGTGTGTTCATACAGACAGACTAATCGTGCAATCATGTTTCTAGACTGAGCTTCTTGACACAAGTTTTAAATTAACGGCTACATCTACGATATGATTAGAATTTGGCTTTTATATTGGCCATGTTAAAGCATTAAAATTTAAGAGCATTTGTGAATGAAGTATGTCGAACACGAACCAAACAATGTAGGCTGAATCACATCCGCGGCGATACGCTAAAAAAAAAAGTAAGAAATAGCTAGTTGTAATAGCTATAGAAAAAACGACAAACGGAGAGATTACCATTTGTAATGGTCTTTTCATTTCTTTTATACGGAAATGCCAACGGCTATGGCTGGTTGGTCAAAAGGGTCAAAATTTCTCCGTGCTCTGGGGGCGACTCTTCTAGAGGCAACTTCGTTTTTTTATTTTTCTTTTTTGGGAAAATACGTTTAGGTCATTATCCGCGTTCAACAGTTATCGCTGTCGAAATAATGCAGAACTGACAATGGAATTTAAAGGAGACCACTTTACAAGCTATGCTTACGTAATTTTGCGCTAGCCACGAGGTTTGCGGAATTAATCGTAAAAGTTTCGCTTATTTTATCGATTTTCGTTTCTTGATAATATAGTAAATGTTAGAATCAGGTAATCGGCATTGCGGCTGTTTCGTCTTGCTACCGCGATGCTAACTTTACAGACAGTGTTATGTATATGGTCATTAGAGTTGTTACAATTATGTATGACTTCCTTGATCTCGACTTTCTAAGACACTATAATCCTTTGTCGTCACTTCACCATAGTGGTGTATCTTGCACAGTATCTGAGTCATGAAACTCGAGCCTTCGAATTATCGAAGGACCCTTTACTAAAGTGCCGAAAAAGATAAAGAAATCTCGAAAAAGAGAAAGTAGTAGATTGCTGTTTTGAATCCTGTGAAGAATTACTTTCTATTATTGCAGGGATGCAGGAGATTAATGAGTCAACGAAATCGGTTGTCTTCTAGTAGGATTATTTATGCATTTATGAGGATAAGCATACGTTAGAACGTTTAAAAAGTGTAGGAGTTCATTAGTAATCGGTAGTCTCTGCTTACGCATATCTTTCAACTTAGAATCGCGATTCTGTTGCTCGGGAAGAATCACAGCCTAACTTTTGAATTAGGTTGTGAAACCCAAATTGAAAGAAATTACTGGTACTAGTTCAGCTGTAAACGTTTTGCGAAGTTTCTCAAATCCGTTTCGATGTAACGCACTCGCCTTAGATACGTTTGATACATTCGCAATTCTTACTCTTCCTAGCTCAAAAGCTAATTTTTACAAGTAGTGCACTCTAAGCACCAAATGTAGATTGTATCCAAGAATGTCCCTGACATAGAAACGTGGTCCCTCCTTGTCTAAAACATGTCGCCAAGCGCCCACAAGCAGATCTTATAGATTGTCAATCTGTTACTAAAGCGGAGACGTATGGTAGTGTAAATTAAGCGGTTTCTATTGAATGTTGTGTGGAGCCACAGTGACACTATTGTGACAATTACATTATAAATTACGGGCAACGTAACCGTCATGTCTTGAGTACGAATAACTTTTATCAGTGTAATCAATTTTGGTCAACCGCACGCAGACACGCTTCTTTTGGGTGGACTAATTGGCAAACTGAAAATGAACGCGTTTGAATAGTAGTGTAAACATGAATAACGCTGCTCAGTACAAGTGCCGTCGACGGATCAGTGCGTCACTGAGGTACTGTATAGTCATATATGATGAACTCACCGTTCCGTACTGCAGATATACAAATTAGTATAGAGCCGAACTCGTCGATAGATTCATCGGCGTGATTCACTTGGTCTGATGACCATGACTGAATAATAGATTGAGGTCAATAGTATAGTAAATAGGTGAATAGTAGTAAAGATAAATTTATTTTTGCTTTTATTCCGCTTGTTATTAGAAGAACGTACGCCCATACGTGACCTCAAAATTTGGTACTGCGTTTCTCCGGATCTTTCCTTCTTTCGCAACATGCTTCCGTGGCCTAAAAGTACCGCATTAATGTGCGGTGCTACGCCATGCGAAATGGAGGCAACATAGATGGGCTGATTAAAAAAAATGGCTTGGAACTATCAAGCTAGGTAGGGTGGGAGAAAGGTAAAGTGAAATAAGAACGAAAATACTGCATGAGGTGAACATACTGGTTCAACGCAAGGACATGTAGGTACGACAGAAAAATAAAGGCGAAATTTTCAAGATCTATGCGGTCGAAAATACCAGATGACAGATCGAGAAACGGCTTAATACGCTGTATTAAGCGAATACTTGTCTGGAAGTTTGCGATAGTCTCGCGATAGGCTACGGGAAAGTGTTGTGAATGTGGTAGTTTTCAACTACAGTGAGTTTTTTCAGATTCTTCGATCATTCCGAGGTGTATCCGTCATACAGCCCGTTCCGTGACTGTATTCGATAGCTGCTAATAGTTTATGAAAAAACTAAAATTACAAAGCTATTATCGTAAAACAAACATGTTTGTAGTAATGCGTTCGTTGGTTATGAATCATAGAACACGCGCACTGTGCCAATCTTAGGGCACCATCGATACGATCTAATTTATTCCTGTGTCCTAAGTGGACATCTGAATTGAATATGTTCATTTTTCGATAAAGAGGACCATTTCGATTAACATGTCGCTTGGCGTTAATGGTGGTTAACCATTACTGTCCCGAAGCCTGTTTGTTGAATGTTTACTATGGCTGACTATTTCAAGTGACCGTATAAACCGTAGAGCTTTCATTATGGCTGGAGTCGACGTTGACGTATACTATGATGGTAATCCGCTTCGTATAGCTGACCGTTTCGTCGTAAAAAAAAGCAGCGTCTATAAATCGCATGTAAAAGAAACATGTTTTTTGTTATTGTAAATAACTCATGTAGCGGGAATCATTGTACAATGGCTGGTTGGCGTATTAGCTGTGATCAAAATACTGTTGTTTCAGTTTATTAGAAAGTAACAAAAATAACTACGACAACTCAAAGTCACAGCGAAAAACGTGGTTTTGCAAAGTGCGATCACCATTGGAAGGTAAGCCTGAAGAGCGTTCCATTCAATAAAAAAACCTTTGCGACAATTAAGGAAGCGGTTACTTTTTATACGCTAAAGCTCATCTATCACAACTAATATGACGCGCGTTGTTTGTACTACTTCGAACTTTACATTCGAACACACTAAGTCAACACATAACTCTGTGATGGACTGTCATGATTAAGCTAAAAACATATTGAAATAGCCAGCCGTTTTATCTACTTCAAGGTGACTATTAAGTAAAAACTGTATTTTTCCCATACGAAGAGCGATTATAATGCGCATTCTGTCGTATAAAAATGTGAGCCTTCAGTAAAAAGTTCGTCACTTGTTGTGCGCTGACATTAATATGTTTTGACCTTTATGACATGTGTGCACGCCTTGGACCAACATTTATGCATGATCTCGGAGTCAGCACGCGGAATTTTCAGTGCAGTCGAATCTGATGACTCTTCCCATGCGTGCTCAGAAGGCAGAATGTCCACCCGTTATATTTAAATGGAAAACGTTCAGTTTTTTCACTCAGACTGCATCTCAAACATGTAGAAATAATTATGGATTAGTTGATGTACGTATGACTAAGGCTAAAAAGTTGACTAGAGGAAGCCTTGTGCTCCGTCTTTGCTGTTAGATAAATATCGTGCATTAGTCAGTTGAATTAGAGAAGAAACAGGCAAAACTGTTAGGAAACCGACGAATAGTGGTATATCGTATATACGCTGAAGTTGTTGCCATTAAGTTACAGAAAGCGTAAGTACAACTAGTGTGCAAATGTTAACTAGAGTAGTTAGTCAGTGGTAATCGGCAATGTCAATTTGAACAAAGACAAAGCAACACTGCCTCGTGGGATATAGAAGATGTTAAAATTATGAGAGAAAAGGATATTCCATCACGAAACGCGCAATCATAGCAATGCACATGAGCAATCGAACCGGGAAGCTAGTATTCATTTAGTCGGTTGAATCGCAAGCATTGATCGTATAGCAGGGCACCCGTATACTAATAAGAAAGGAGACCACACTCTTGCGCGTCCGTTTTCGTCAATGAATAAGTTGCAAATATAAATATGAATGTCGATACGCGGCGCATGGCGGAAGCACTGGTGTGAAACACTTGAATGCTGCTACGCAGATTTTGAAAGATGGAAACGTCTGCAGTAATTGAGATATAGATTAGGTGACAGAATCGTTAGGTCTGTTGCTTTCTATTTGTCTTTTAGAGTATGGACTTTGTCGGCTTCACTTTGAATATATATCGAGTTGTTGATATCAGCTGAAGAGCTCCAGTTGCCATGACGAATCTAGATCATCATTTCGACTTCTAAATTTGTTGTGGCCACTGGATCTTTTCGGTTGATATAAACAATTCGATGTATAGCATCTGGCAGGGTATTGCTTATATTGTAGATCATATACGTTACTCATATCGACTAATTTGCTGCACCTACTAGCGTCTGGTGTCCCTCTGTCACTTATTTCTATGCAGCGTATTTTCCTTTCGCGTATCTTGTGAGCATTTACGCACTGTTTATTATTTATTGTCGACGCCTTTCTGCTGCTTACGCATGCTTGTTTGAATTTGTTTTGCAAAAATCTTGTAGCCTTAAATAGTATAATATTTTATATATTAATAATAATAGTCAGCTGACACATGAAAAGGGGGTAAGTTGACTTTCGTCCACTGCAGTACTGGACCTCATTGCGCTCTTAGATTAATAGTCGAATAAAAATATAGTGAAGCTCATCATGTGGTATGCTTTACGGTGTACACCATTTGGTAAGTATGTTGTACGTGCGTTTTAAGTTACTGATGAAACAGAAGTACGCTGGGTCGTGATAGAATGCCTTTGCAGACGAACAACGGAAACACGGCTCTACAATAGCTTGCTTCGCTGTTGTTGTTCATCTTGAGTTTTATTAACGTTTTTTTTTTGTAACATTTGCAGAAGTCCCCGTTGTCGGCTCGCTACTGGGGCGAAGAAACGACGCCGGGAGGTATTTGGGCTATATATCTCAAGAAGGTTCGCTATCATCCATGCAGTTCCTACAGTGTCGCTGGAAGCGGGGGCTCCAGTCAGGATGGCGACGATACGGTTTCGCATCTCGAATGGGAAACAGTTAAGGTAATGGAGCACAATCTATAAATGAATGGCACAAACGGCTATTGGCTTTTTAAAGGGAGCGACACTGTGCAGGTTATTGTCGCTGATAAGAAAATTATGGGAATATCGCTGTCGATTTAACAAAGTATCCATGGCACACTATTAAGTAATGGAGTAAAAAGTTAACCAAGCTACACTAAAACCTACATCACATGCAAGCGTCCATGTTAGCCCTACTTAATAAAAGTCTATCAACATACATCTTTTTGAATAATAATCCAATAGACCGAAATATGGATATACTGCTCAGATATCATTGTCCTTTAATATTAATCTAAAAATGCAATATATTTGTCTATGTGCTAAACAGTTGCAGCGTTATTAAATAAAGACTGGCAACTAACCATGCCATCACAGTCGTATATACAAAAAAAAAAAACGACATTAACAGCTATCTAATCAACATCGTCTTATAACATTGAAACCAATAGCGACCTTAACCTCAAATATTGCTGAGAGTGTTAGCAGATTTTTGCCTGACGTATATTGGCACCGTAAAACTCGAAACGAATTTGGGCGTTGACAACTGGCGCAGGCGCTTACATTTTATGACCGCAGCCTAATAGGAATCGATTTTCGCTAGTGACACCCAATAAATCATTTTGCGCAAAACCCTTTGTTTTGATTGATTATGATTTACAACCAAGCACATGGCTGTTTTCATGTATACATACGGTTGAAATCGGCGTTAGAATAACGCGGTACCTCCTGTTATAGTGAATTATCTGATACATGAAACGTAGCTCATCATTATTATTAGTAGTAAATCTCAGAGTCTTCATTAGTTTATAGCGAATTCGAACTATTTGACCAAGCCTCTTTAGTGAGGTGCTATTCGGCATTTCTGTTGGAAACTAAACTACTCAAACAACCATAAGCAGAAGCCGGAATATCAACATGGCATGGCGTTTTTTTCGGCCAGAAATAAAATGGTTGTACTCATAGGCTTCATATATGACTAGGGGCCGAGTTGAGCTCGGATAAATTTAATCCGATTAAGTCCCTGAGGTCACTATTGTTGGATGTTGTGCAAGCGATTTATTTGGCATTCAATTAAATTATATTGGGTGGCATGGGGGCAATTCTGAAATGGCCAATCGCTGGAACTTGACCTCCCGACCCGCGCTATGGGTCCATAGCTCATTTTCACCGTGGGCCACCTTTTAGCATTGTTGAGTCAAAACAAATGGCTCGTCCACCTAAAGATAACATAACGTTCCACCTTCAATTCTTGTACAACGATTTGGCTGTTCCCACAAGTGACTTACATTTCAGCCATGTAAAATTATGCTTACAGAAGTCGTTTGTAAACGTGATTGTTCGTAAGCTTATAGGACCAGAAAGGCGTCTGTTCACGAATCATTTCAACATCTGCTTCATGTTTTATTTGGTCTCCTTGACCAATAAGTTTTGGCAGTCAATACCGTCTCTGTTTCATGCAGTCAATTGCCAACAATAGCAACAACAACAACATCTCTTACATTCTTCGTTAACAAATGCATGCACTTCTGACCCGAGAAGTTCGATGTTTTTCTCAAGTTTTAGGCTTCGGATACGGTGCTCCTCTCCATTATACATCGTTCATGTTCATAAATCTCCGATAATTATTGCCTGATATGCAATGGGAAATAGACAGCCAGCGGCGGTTAGGTATGAACGAAGGTCGCCGATTCAGTCTGCTAATGCCAAAAGCGATTCAGCATATGCTAGCGTTTGTCAGATCTGCACTTCGTGATTAACCTGCGACGCACAGTTGGCCATTGGCTTAACGAGCCATCAGAGGTATTCCGCGCTTAGTCCAGCCATTTTAGCTGTCTGCCTAATTATCTGGCCGCGTTTATGCATGTACACATAAGCTAAGAGTAGCCACCCTTTGCAGTCTTGTGACGCGCGCGCTGTCCCTGGTTCATTTGCGGCGCTACAGTGTATTTCTGCTGATGCAGACCGTTTGTACTGACCTCCCCCTAACGGGGTCATCGCGCACAACAACTGTCGTTCCTACAACGGGTTATCGGTGGCAGTCATTAACAGAGCGCACCGTCACTTGTTAAAATTTAGCTGCTTAAAAAAATTGTTGAAATAAAGTCGCAACTCTCGCGCGCTCGACAAGAGCTTTAGGCTTCTTTAGAGGAGTCATCAGCGGTGGTACACACAAAATAACATGATGTAGCAGAGCTCTTTCCAAAATGATTTCCTAGATGGATAGCTGGTTGGCTGGTATTTGCGACGTTAACGCGTAAGAGCCAAACCCGAATTAACCACGTCAACTACACCGCCTTTGTGCTGCAGCCTATTTCTGTCTCGGGTTGACCGAACATCGCCTTCGAAAACAACCAGTAACGTAAGCGTGCAGATGTGAGGCTAACACGGACAGTGAAGGCGGCGACAACAACACCGGCAATGCGTAGGTCGTTTTGGATTCACCGTCGTAAGATGGGGAAGTAAAAGCTGACGAAAAAGTGGCAATCAGGGTTACAGGCGATATAAAAGATACTTATTTGGGCACGACCATCACAAACGGTTTCGTGACATCTTTAATAACTGTTATTCTCGTTGTTGTTGTTGTTGTTTTGAAGTCACTGAATGACTAGAAGATAATGGGTTGAAAAATTTGCGTATGGGCTTATAGTGGGGATGTTTTGGGCAGTGCCCAAGTAAAGCCATAAAACAAGGCCAAAATTAGGCGATTGAATGTCTGTTTGATTCTTGACACTGTACTCGGTTCCGAAGTGCAGGTACATTAGATATACGAATATGTGTATGGGTCCATATGGTATTGCCTATGTAGGAACCTCGTAAAGCTTAAAGTAAGCTTTTTCTTGCAAGCTTTGCAAAACTCGACTTCAAGACAAATCGAAGTGGACTGTGTGTCCCAATAGAAGAAAGATCGCCCGAGACCAGGCTGTAATTTCATATTGTATATCGAGTTTCACTGGTACAATGCAAGTTATATTTTGTTAAATATAAAAATATATATATGTCGTCATGGATATATTGAGTTTGCTTAAACCTCATGGAAAATGTATTGCGTATAGTGTTATAGATATAACGATTCTGATAAAATCTATAGTTTCTGAGTAGTTCGCCATGATTGCAGGATTTTAAAGAGGCTTTTTACTACGGTGATACGAAATATTAGTTCGGAACTGACCACGTCATTGCTTATTGCCTTCGTACCCAATTGTCTTTGCCCCTTTATTCGGATCCCCTGCATTTGTGTAATGTAGAAGGAGAAATAGATCTTCATAGTCGTACATGCTTCTTCCGTCTGTGATAACAACACTTTAGGCAAAAATGACCGCAGATTTATTCATTCTAATAATGCGTCGCAACCACAAAGCACACAACAGCTTCATTCTAGATTAGACAGGTCAACGTAAGTAAATGGTTATTAAAAAAATAGCCTAAGTGGGCCCGTTCTTGCTGAGCCATTTTGTGTATTTACCACATGATTAGTTAGCGTGCTAGCTGCACCAAAGATGCATTGAGACGTAATAACTGAGCACGTAGGGTACTCTAACCACCGCCGCCTTACCTCAAACGTTAGATGAAACACGTCTACAGTTTTTACAACTACCCCCATACTTACATCGTGTTTGCTTATTGTCGCGCTGCGCAGGAGTCATGGGGAAAGTATTCACGAGCGTCAACGGATCTATCTGGAATGCAGACAGGACAATCCACAACACAGCACAGCAGAGACAATAACAGTATGAAGAATGCCTTGTTGGTGTTATACGACAGAGATGCGTTGATATTTATCAAAACTTTCTTACTTTTACTTAAATAACAGACACACATTATTGACCGAATTGACGCTCTAACGTTAGCGGTCATCGTTTTGAAGTTGCCGAAGTTGACAGTACCTGTGTGATCTTGACCGTTAATTCGTCAACTACGTCAAGTAGCTGGTTTACAAATTGTATATCACTGGTCAACTTTGATGTACAAGTTATAAGATTCAAATCTAGAAATGAAGCTTTCTCAAGAAGTCTATCTTCGTCAATAAAGAATTGCTGATCCATTGAACACTGGTTAGGCAGCTCCATATTGAATCGAGTTTTAAATTTTAATCGGAGAGGAAGCTAAACGGCGGGACTTAGAATTTTCTGTCTGGACCGGTAATTAACGTTATAAGTGAATGTGGAACCACGCACGATCCTCGTTGCTTGTTTTTATTTTACCTAACCAGTATTATTTTATGCAGGTTGTGTTTGTATTCTAATAAGTAACGAGAGTTGAATTAAAAATGTTCAATTACCTTGCAAAGATGTCATATACTTACACTTGTTATAGTCAATGTGAACTTGTCTAGTAAAAGATGAAATCTACTCGGCAGTGTAATCAACTGCAACTATATCGACTTTGCATCTTCTGAACAGCTGAGTCGTTCATAAAGCAAATGCATTAAACAATATTTAAAGGATTTTACTTATTTTAAATAAGTTCCTAACATTTTGCGAGATAGAACGCATTAAGTTGGAAAAAGCATTTTTTTAACATTCTGAAAAATATACGGAGAAAAGAATTACGATTAAGCTTTTGAAATTATTGAACCTCAATGACCAAAAACTTTTCTCGCAAAAAATGACAAATCCACCAAAGTTCTTGACTTTAGTGTAGAATAGCTTTACCCTACATCCCAAAGTAGTCATTATTTTTTTCATTTTCACTAACACACAGATAAGATATTTAAAGGCCGGCACCTTAGAAGTAATTGTCGCCTCGCTATCCGACGACCAGGGGGAAGTCGATCCCAATGTGATGCACATACTGTTATCAACATATCGCTCATTCGCGACATGCGGGCAGCTTCTGAAAGTTATTACCACCCGATATCAAGAAATAGACGAAGGCACCATTCAGGTAGGTCTTCTTTGACAACTTCATTATTAAGTACATTACTGGTTCCGGCTCTATTTTTTAAAGAATTTTCGTTTTTTAAAAGCTTATAAGCGCCAAGTTGAAAGCCATTTGGTGCGTTTTTGATGTAAGTGTTAGTGTCGAAATATCTGCTAACTAATGCCGAAGTGGGGAGTTAAATACAACTTCATTTTTCAGAGTGATGAATTATTGCTAGATTATATAAACTTTCCTCTAGGTTCTAGAAGATACGGAGGAAGGCCACAAGATTGCCTTGCGCCAAACGTTAGCAGAATGGGTGGACAAATATCCGGAAGATTTTTTTTCCCCACCTGACCACGAGGAGCTCCTAGCACTTCAGGAGTTCGTGAAAAAATATGCTCCGTCGTCGATCATTGAACGCAAGGTTCAGGGTCGGTTGAAGGAGTTGCGTTCAAAAAAGGGAGGCAAATTCTTTGAACCTAAATCATGGATAAACGAGTATTCTCGTGATCAGATGAAGATCGGGTTGCAATTCGAGGACATTGACAACAAGCATTTTGCTCTTCAACTTACATGGATGGACATGGTAAGTTGTTGATGGATTTCCCTAAAAACTGTAGAAATATATGAATAATATCATAATTGCGTATGTTTGTATCTTTACTTAAATAATTAGAGAGATTTTAGAGGTCTCGTGTGATTTTGTCAAATATGCTTCACAATTTAATTACGGTGAAATTTCAGACGTTGTTCAGACGGCTGGTTCCATACCACTGTTTGACGATGCGATCTCGCAAAACCGGAGACAGGTGTGGTGAAACATACCAGGACACGGTGAGGCAATTTAATGCTGTCGTAAAGAAAGTTATATCGACCGTTCTTATAGGTGGTACCGAAGTGAAAGTATCACAAAGAGCCGAAATACTCACCAAATGGATCGAGATTGCTGATGTAAGATAATATAAACTAACACTTTGCTGCCCTCCTTAGTAAGATATTGTAAAGCGTTAAAACTAATAATTATGAAACTTGAATTGTATTACTGTAAGTGAATCATGCAGTCGCCTGGTCTGAAGTTTCCTTTGGAATGAAGATCTATGATCGTTGACTAAGTTTTTATATCGCATTTGCCACTTCATAGGAGCTTCGTTACGTGAAGAACTTCACTTCTTTGAAGGCAATCATCGCAGCTCTGCAGTCGAATGACTTGTACCGTCTGTCGCGTGTATGGCAATCGGTAGCTCGGGAGAAGACTCAACGCTTTTCTGAGCTAGCCGCGATCTTTAGTGAGGACAATAACGAGATGAACGCTCGATCGTTGCTATTGAAAGAAGGTACGGCGAAGACTGCCGACTGGAAACCTGATCGAAGTACCTCCAGCGGCAATAAGTCACCTCGCCATAATGGCCACAAACACACCAATCATTTCGCTCAATCTCAGGTAGTTAACAAATGTTATTGATATTTTTCGTTGTACAGATTTGAGTGAAACAATACCAATAGTAAATCTAAAAGCAAATGGCGATTGCATTACCTCTTTATCGATTTAATGTGTTTGCAAGTAATGCTTGCTAGCTTACATTATAAATCGCATTTTTTTTCAGCCGACAATCAGTGGTACAATACCATACTTGGGTACATTTATGAAGGACCTCACAATGACAGACTCCGCATATCCTGAAAACGTCACTCATCCTGACGGCACGCCGCTAATAAACTTTGACAAGAAGAAGAAAGAATTTGAGATCCTTGCCCAAATCAAAATTCTCCAAAGCTCGTCGAATAGCTATAGCATACAACCGGATCCGGCTTTTCTCGTTTGGTTTGATAGCATAGAGATTCTGCGTGAGGACGAAAGGTACATAGTCAAGCCAAATGCTTAAATGTGAGGAGAAGCATGCCCCTTTTAAATGAAGTGATATGCAACAGGTCAACAGAACTTTCCTCTTTGTTTATTATTACTCCATACATTTTTGCGGTGCTGAATGGCGAGAAACGCTTCTGTTTCATATTGCGATTTTACTTTATAATTATATGCAAGTTGAAGTCATTCGATTCTTTGTTGATCAATGCGTGATCTTAATAACAAGAGATAAAAACACGCTTTTGCAGCGTATTACTTTTAAGTAGATACTTCTGACTTCTTACCTATGACGATATATAGTGAGAGGCAATGGTGTAGGCAAAATGGTGTAATGAAATGAATTTTTATTTTTCATCATCCTAATATGTTTTACAGCTACGAACTTTCATGCGAGATTGAACCAGCCAACCCTGTCATTCGAGATCTGAACTCAATATCCCGCGTTGATGGTCTTCGAAGATGTACCTCGGTAAACGACGCTATTAATCTTGGACACCGGAAAAAAAATTCAACTTCTTCGACAACCAGTTCGAGTTCGTGTGTCCTCCTTTCACAGGTACGATCGCGTCAACATGTGTCTGCATATTATTAACTCTATGTATTGCACATACACATTGAAAACCCGCTTTGTTATAGTTAATGCCCCTAAACGCGTATAATATTAGGTATTAATACTTGCGCATGGTCGGCTTCATATATTAACACAATTGCAAATAATACATTGTAGCTAGGTAAACAATAGGGATTTTTTATTGATGTAAATGAGTACCGATTTTGTTTTTTCAGGATCTTCAAAGCACGAGTGATGTATCATCTATGGCATCACTACCACGAGGCGAAGGTATTTGTGTTGTAGATAGTAATGGGCTAAGCAGCCTTTCTGATTCACGTCTGTCGCACTCAACTTGTAGTTTGCAACTACCACGGATTACGACTACAGGACAGCTTCGAGTTACTGGGGCGAGAAACCCTGAAGTGCATATAGCTCGTGTAAGCGTCGCACAGCCCGGTGTCACGCCACAGCAGGGCCAGAATTTGTACAAAAGCATCTTTGTAAGTTCCCCGTCGTTTGCAAAGAGCTTATATTAAAACTATTTGAATGATCGCCGCCATGCATAGATATATCGTATTGTACATTATGGATTGTCTTACTAATTTATCTTAGATTTAAATATGTTACAAGCGCCAATTCTTTTTAAAGATTCAGAAGAAATCTTTGACTAGACCTTAAATCACAACATGATTTGACTTGAGCACTAAATTTCGTTGAATTATTACACTCGTTGGGTATTCCCATCTCTGCTGCAGTCTCTTAACTGTGACTTCATATGGCCTCTTTTTGCATTCTAATATCTTGCAGTTAAGTAATAGGGAACGAACTCAGCAGGTAATTAAAAATTCTCTAGAAAAATTCGCCATCAATGACGATCCAGGAAACTACATGCTCGTCCAACAGGGACCGGACGGTCAAGGTATGCAAGCCGCTTATGAGACCGTTGCAAATCTGATAAATGTACAGAGCTTAAAACAGTTCTGTTTATGACGTGCAAATTTATTTTTTCATCATTTATCGCGATTCCTGAATTTGCTAATTGATATTTTTGCATAAAGTGTATTTTCCATTTATCACAGATTTTTATCTCCCAAACTTACATTCAGCCAGTGAAAATGTGCATTCAGTGTATCAAAACTCGTAGAAAAGAAAAATTGCTTGTACGTTGCACAGTGTAAGTTCATGAGGTTTTTTTCCACTGACTCCGGTTTCATTTTTTAGAAATCGAAATACCACCAGACACTAATGTTTACTACGCCGTCAACAAGTCGTACGAGCTCAATTTCGTGTTGAAGCATCGTTCTCTGCAGCGACCGGCAGTGCCCAGTTTGCTCAAGTACAAATCATCTAGTATGTCACTCTTGTTGCGTCGAAAATTCTGACAACTTGTCGTGATAATGGGAGTAACACAATGTGATGAAAAAAAAATGTATAGTTTAAGAAGCATGTTTTGCTTTCAGTAAAAGGTTGCATAAACGCTACATAGGCTAGTAGGCATGACTCCATTGGGAACTGTTTTTGTTGAATAGTTTAGACGCACGCACTTAACTAATGAGCAGAGGAAGAAGTAGCTGGAGAGGCTAGTTTCAAATCGATATTCTGCAGATCATGTATCAAAAGCTGAAATAGCAATGACTCATAAAAGCCATTAATAGAATTCGCAATCACAGAACATGCATGTGTGCGAAGTTGATGTCTTGTTACATATGTTAGCTATATGGCGTTAAGTCTATTAAAGAGGAAATAGCGTAGTAAAGTAAACGAATAGGAAGACTCCACATATGTGATGCGTATGAACTAGAACAAAACAAAGTAAACGAGAGAAGGTTCATCTGGCCACACTACAGGATGCTTTTCGTGCACTACAAGGGTAATAGCTATGTACAAAGTAAAATGGCAAATCTATAATCGTAGACGTATTTATACAAATCTTAGAGTTTGGATGTGCGCGTGTGTATGTAACTAAGAGTTAAACAAAAAATGGCCCCGTTGATAATTGATTAATTTATTTATTAAAAAAAAAAAATATATATATATATATATATTTGTATGCTGTTGAACAAACACATTGTATCGTGTTTTCATTTGTCATGTGATTCACAAATAAATGCAATAAACAGATATTTGAAGAGAATGTTAAAAGTAAACATATTTTAGTCGTTACTGCCCTCAAAGTAACGAAGCGCTGTATAATTTTTGTATGCATAAGCTTTTTTATTCAACTTTCCCTTACCAGGATAGGTCTGGCCTCCCAACTAGTCCGTTTCTGTCATATCGCTTTAGCTGTGCGCAAGTTGCATAACAATAATACTATATATTGTAAATATATATAGCAAGATAGTTTCGTGAAGAAAAAATACTGCGTTGAATTTATTGACAAACTCAACTATGACTGAAAATATAGGAACAAAGGAAACGTAACGCCCCATAACATTTTGCGATTCTCTTCGCACAGCACTTCAGCTGCAGAATTTTCAATATACGACAGGTACAAGAATCGACAATTGCCGAACGTCGACGTTTGAGTAAAAAAAACTAGTAGATATATTTTTCATTGCAGAACAACTCGATTCGTACACATACCACTTAGTTTTCCACTAACCTTAATTTATTGTTTAAAAACTCAAAAAAGGCACCATGTGTTCTTACTCTTTATGTCTTTCTGTCGTCTAGCATTTACTCACACGTATAGATTTTTGTATAATACAACTATATCTCCTAAGCTTACGTAAATAACACGCCTGCTCATCCATCACTGCTAGGATATTCTCTTTGACTACTAATACTATTGAGACCCAAATGGTACATATGCCAATGGATTTTTAATAGTGTAAATATTTAAATAAAAGTAACCTTAGTCTGACGTGTGTGTTCGTAGTATTATAGTTATCCATGATTCATTCTTCTGTCCTTCTGTCAATTCATTTTCAGACTCATATACGATATATGTGGTGCAACTTGTCTACATGTAAAAGTCTACCATAGAGAATGAGCAGTTATCATTTGTTATTATCACACAGTTGTTCATCGTCGGTCAATCGCACGGTTAAATCGCTGTTTACTGCTGTTGCACTGTTCGTTATATTTGCGCTTAAGATTAACGTAGGGACAACATACGCGCTAAAATTCTTTAAAAAGATTAGTGTTTACTGATTTACAACAGATTTATGTCACCTCTGTAGTTTTACAGGCCACCTGCTTATTTCCTTCGTTAATATATATATATATATATATATATGCTTTCACAAAGCGCTATCAAACATGTATGGCGTGTAAGAGCTCTTACTTTGCAAGGTAAGGTCTCTTATACATTGTCCAATAACGCTTTGTGAAAGCAATCGCGTACAAAGAGACGATTAACCGATATTCAGTGCTCGGTCTTGTTTCATAAATAAATGTACTAAGCAAATAAACGTACTAAGCATATACAAAGTACACAACACAGTTCAAACATAGGTGAAGCATACACATATGAACAGATTCTACATATTGATTGGAAAATAAACTGTACACGTCATTAAACTAGAGAACACTAAGTCTGTCCACACGTTGTCTATATTTGCATGGGCAGAGAATAAACAGCACGTGAAAGCGTCTTGGAGCCGACAAGCAGTATTCCTGCTTCCTTCTATACTGAGTACACCGATGGCAGAGCTCGGGATGCCTTGTAAGTTTATATGCCCAAAACATCCTCTAAGCGGATGAACGTATTCTTATATCGTATATTAAATTTATTATATCGTTTCCACTGTGCCGGCCATGTTTAAAACACAATCCTCACGTTTAAGCCTCTCAACAAGCTGCTCCTCAAACTTATCCCGGATTCTGCCAAACTCCATAATGTCTCGTGGTTTTTCGGCTAGCCACAATCGATCGAACTCGACAAACACATAACAGTACAGCTTGTGAAAGTCCTCCATGCCAACTACCTGTGGTGGATTCGTACGCATAAGTTGCATATTTATTGTGAAAAAATTATACATATTGTTAACATCTAGACGCTAAAAACTACACATCTGATAAGGGCGCCTCATAAACCTGGTATTGAAATAAAGTAGGATAAAGGCCGTTAAAAATCGTTCATCACTTGTCCTTTTCTTGACCTGATGTTATATGTATGCAAAACGAGTGGCTATAAATTTAATGAAATCTAAGGAGCTTGTTGCTAACTTACTGTTCGCATCGCATTATAAAGGTGCGTTTTCAACTTTCCTTGCCTCAGAAGTCTAAATATCAGATCAGTAAGATTAATTCCTGTAACAATGAAGCACGCGAAAATCTCTTCTTAGTTCACAGAAGGTTGGAGTCGCTCAAATGAACTTATATATAAGTTTATATATATATATATATATATATATATATATATATGTATCTGAGTTTATTAGTCTGAATATGAAATTTTATCAGTGGAAGAGATGTTGTATGATCTATGTGTAGTTATTGCACGAACCGACAATTGCGAACGAATATCCAAACTTCGGATGCAGCGAACGGTTGAGCACGTGTCTCGCTAGGCTGTTATATTGAGTAACAAAGAACACAAGTTGATCGAGTCCTAGCATTCCCATTCCACGAAAGTCCGTCCGTGGATCGTCACCTTGAAAGCCGATGTCCTGCCATTGTTTTGATACAAGATCTGGAAGGGTTGTTGCAAATATTTTTTACAATCTATTTGACATTACCCTACAACATAATGTACTTAATTAGGCTAGAGGAAGTGACTACCGCACCTTCTAGGACGTCGTCTCGAAGGCCCTTCCAAAGCAGCTTAAGCTTCTTCACATGATTCGAGTCATTTGAGTCAAACGATATACGACTAACATGCACTGCTTCAAATATTAACTGCTGGTACGAACATAGATGATTAAGTGAAAATCGGAGTGATCGAACGAATTCACGGTGTATTGTTGGCTTCACCTAGAATTTCATCGAAAGTGGTATACCAGGGTAGTTATTACTTTCAATCTAATAGCTAGTGTTAAAGCCCCTTTTGTCTTTTACTTGAAATACATACACTGGAAGAGTCGACATATAATGAGAAAGGCTGTGTCTTAAATAACGACGCAGTAGCATCACGAAAAAGACTTTTAGGGGCAATAGGTGTTGCTGCCATAGAATAACGTAATAAACCACAAACCTTTTTGATAATAGCTATGCCTGAGACAGCAGCCTCAACTGCGTTGGCGCTATTTGCTTCTGTGTACCGGCCTTGTTCGGCGATTCCAATCAAAGTTCTGTATACATACTGTAATTGACGAGACTGCTCCAGAGAGCGTTCGATTCGTATTGTGCGCTCATACCCTATAGTATCAATAGCAGCAACAAAGAATTTTCGCCTAATTTTTTTCAATTCCATGCAACTTCGAAATTTCTGTACTCAAAATAACAATTTGACTATGATTCTAAACGACATAATAAATTGTGCCATAATCTACTAGTATGTCTTTACAAGCATCAGGTAAAGTACAGTATCATACGAAATATGCTGGGACCTAAAATTGATACCTACCAACTTTTCCTACGCCGTTTTTATTTTTCCATTACTGCTAGAAACAGGCTGATTCTATCATAGAAGGGCTTTGAGGAACAAGCACAAATAACGCCTATGATTTTAGATCCGCATATATTACAACAAATGCCAGAAATGCTCTACAGTCACCACATGACAATATAGTTGCCTTTTACTGACCACTTGTTGTTCCGTAGCAAATTCGTTGGAGCTCACAGAGATTGCTGAGCCGTCGCATGAAGCCTTTGATCCATGACCGGAAGAAGTCATAAAGCGTGACGAAAATCAAGTCGATAAATTCCCACATTTTAACACCCTTTTTCCAAGGAGATCAAACAAAGAGAGCAGGAACAGGGTATGAAATAAATATGTTACAAGAAATGTATGTATATACATTATAACGTAAACCAAATAAAATATTAATTAATCTGCTTAGAATGGCACTAAAAACGCAAGAATAGTGCACTTTTTTCAAAGCAAACTTAACTGACTGGGAATTTCTATAATATTGCTTCTAAACATTGATTACTGGCTTTCTAAGAGTACGACTTATTGAACCCTTACTAATGCTCTATGCGCACTTCGCGTACCTCGTGTGGCGCAAATATACGAGGGATAAATTTAAAATGCGACATTTGACAAGGACTTACAGCTGGCCGTAGTCAACTCCAGCTGATTTCCAGCGGCTTTTGTAGGCGTCTCACAGGAAGAGTAATCTCCTATTCATTGACCAATTCTTTCGAAGCGTTTGCCCCGCAACCTTAATTCATATAGATTGTTTCATGTTCTATAATGTATGCTAAACTCATGGGAAGAGGCCTATGAATACCAGCTTACGTTAGGCAAAATAGCAAACGTTAACTTAGAGAACTGGATTCTGTTTTTTAAATTGCTTTAGAACGTTAATGTTGATAATGACTAAGATCATGCTGCTATTGATAATGATGATCAAATATAAAAACACATCTACAATAGGCCTCTCATTAACTGATGTAATCTCACTCTCCCGTAGTTCTACTCACTCGGAGAACCCCGTTCTATTTGCGACGTTCCCACAGCTGATTACTCGATCGGCGGGATCGAGCACAAGTCTGCCAAGTTGAACGCACTCATCTTACTATGTTCATTAGTAAATCCACGTATTACAAGCAAGAAGAATGATTCACGCGAAACGCATCTGGACGACCAAAGGTCCCACTAGAAATAAATTCACAAGCATTACGGGACCCTTCAGGTCACGAAACTCCGCCGGTTAGCTGCAGCGGCCATCCAAACCCACAACATCTCTTCACTTGGGGGTCCTTATGGAGAAACTCGCGCCATGATTCGAAATGCTCCTATAGAACATACACAGTTAATTGTTACAGCTGCTTAGTTTTTGAACCTTTCAAGTTCCACTGTAGTGAAACTGAGTCAAGCTTGTAAACTCACCAAAAGCACAACGTCGCCCACGGAGCTGGTTGAGTCATTTCCAAACTGCGGCATCATATGGTCACTTAAAGAGGTGTCGTGTTTAAAGAAACTAACAAAAATATGGGACTCATATCACCTATTTATGTGCACCCAGACGAGAGAGGATACAATGATGTAAGACTGATACAATATATTACAATTTGCCTATGTTTTCAAAGTAAGCTTCAGCTATTTTACCTCGTGAAGTAGTTCTTAGAATTAGATTTCAATATCGCTGCAATCATTATCGGGAGGGTTTTAGCATAATTTACTTGCTTTTCGACAACCGAGTGACTCTATTCCTTGTCGTAGCCTGCATGTTCGTTGTTTATCGCTACTATAAGAACATACTCAGAGATGTGTGTTAGCTTATTCACTCACGGCACAGCCGAGGTTGCTTACATACCATTAGATGTATATATTTAAATTATTACTTATTTTTAGCTTGTAGTATAGTGGGGACGCTACAATAGATTCCAGCCATCAATAGTTACATTACAAGAAAAACAATCAATGCATGTCGTTTCAGACTATTTTATGTCAGCATTTGCTTATTAACTCATTAGACAAAGCATGGTACAAGGATCACAGTCGTTAGATAACGGTAGTAATATGAAGTAACCCTAATTAGCATCATATCGAAGAAACCCAAATAGGACTCCTCGTACTAAATAATCCGATCTTGATTCACAGACGGCTCTCACCCGTACAGTCTGGAATATTTTGTCTGCCAGTTGGCGCAGATCCTTTCTATCAGCCACTATTGTGTTATGCTTGCCTTACTCAAGCTTCTCCCAGAGATTAATACCTATTACTGTTCCCATCATCGAAATTGTAATACCTTTTCATTGGTGCGTTATTGTGATGGGCCCATTGAAAGGAAGAGAATGTAAATTTATCTTTGATAATCGTACAAAATGCCTAGAAATCCGAGTTGAGGGTTGGCTACAGAAAATATGTATATAGCCTATATTATTCGAGTAAGATACCTACATCAAACCTATTTCGTGGTTTGGGTGGTAATCGCTAAGAGACGGTTAAAGAAAAATAGACCGCATATTAGGTGACATTACACCGTCACATTTAACAACTAAACAGAGAAACATGTTAATTACTGTCCAGCTATTTTCGGCGTTAGGAACCATTAACGGTCTGAAATAGATAAAGACTGTGTCCGAAATAATATAGGAGCCATTACTTCTAAATTGACTCTTCTCCAAATGTTATCCTTATGTACTATTAAGAATGTTCAATTAAAATTTCAATAAAAAAGGTTTAAATAGAAATGGTAATGAAAATAGTGAACAACAACAGTCTACCCTTGTATATTACCACTGCTAATAAATTTTAACAGAGGAGTTCTACTAACGTATTGATTAGTCCCGATTCGTCTATTTTCTCAAGAGCAATTTTACTTTGTTTGCAACTTTACAACTCTTGGAGATCCGAAACTTTAAAAAATTGAAACAATTATTTAAACACTCCTTAGGTACAGTATTACTATGATAGTAATTTTTCTAGTTTTGCAACGAGAGTGAACAATCCTTTTTTAAAAGCGCAACCTTTGTTTTAGGTATTGCTCAGCAGCACCAACTATTAAAGTTATTATCTTTTTACCTCTCACCCGGGAACGTCTATGAGATCATTCATGTTTTGGGCGGCGCCAGCGCTAATGACGACATAGATTTGATTTTCGCGGGCTCCCTTGCTTGCTAAGTGTCGGACGGAGGCTCATGTCCGCAGACCGCGCGTTCCGCGCACCAAGTCGTTGTCCCTGATCAGTGCTAGCAATTAGGCAATCCCGAATTTAAGCAAAATTAACCGTTTTTTTCGCACCAAATTCCAAGTAATCTCATCCTCAGACGGCAGACAAGCTGTCATAACAGCAGTGTAACTAAATTGCGTTCAAACCAGCTCAAGTGTACCGAGTCCCAACCAAGGAGCTAGCGTCAAGGCAAGGGGAACCGAGCAAAACCACGATCACCGATTAGCACTCGTTGCCGTCGTGAGGGGCAGCGCATCGCTTTTCATTTGCCTTCTGTCCAGCCAAAGATGGCCGGTAGCAAGTGGCACGACCAGGTAAGACAATGTTCGAGCCTGCGACAAAGTTCACCAAAAATGGGGCTTAGACAAATGTCTTCAATAAGGGATGGTTAAAGAATATGATGGTGGACTTACGAACGCTATAAGGAGAGGATAGTGGGGGTGAACATTCGGTGCCATCTCGTCATCCGTGCCTGCCTGCCAATGGAAATTCTGGCAGCTCAACATCGAGAAAGCACGCACGGTAAATTATTAGTATCCTATCATAGATGTAGATGGATATATTGATCGGGGTGAGTCGATAGGCCATTTGGATTGGCGATCATTACCCGATATGAGGTGTTTGCCATGAATTCACACTACTGTTTGTTGGAACTATTGTTGGAACGAAAGGATCGTCCGCCACTTCAGCGCGGCTTTACCTAGGTTCAAAACTCTGTAGAGTGTTATACAATGGGATAGTGAAATTCAGTACATTATGTGAATAAAATCTGCTTCTCTGTTCCGCATAGGTAGTACGTTCGTTATTTTCTAATCGTTAGTTCTTTAGTTAATAATTAGTTCATTTATTAGACGAAAACGTTATATAAAGGTTATTTCTATGAGTAGTCATTTTGCTGCTCTGAGTCGCCGTGTTGAAAAACGTGGAAAATTGTTTTTCGCAAATATATTCCCCCACCAACGCCCGCCCTCTTATAAGAGCCAACCTAGTACCGCCAACATGGAAAACTGCAGTGTGTTCCTCTACGGGGCCACTGTAACACGCTTGCGGTAATGGCATACTCTGAGATCTGAACCACGGTGCAAGTGGTATTTAGTGGCAACTCGTCAGTAGTTTCAGGCGATGATGGCGCTCCATTTCTACGACTCTACAATGACCGCATAGTGTCAGAGTGAGAGAGATGAAGTTATAGAGAGCAAACAGACTCGCAAAAAGCAATATTGCTAAATGTTACCGACAGGAACAATAGTGGGATAGTGTGGTATGTGTGCTTATTAGAGGTTTGCCAATTGAAGGAGGTCAACAAGCCCGGAAGCGTCGGCGCGGACGCTATGAAGATATTACGTTTTTTATTCTACGGCAATTCAGCATTTCATTTCAGCTTCAAGGAAACTTAGCAAGTTCTGCAGAACTCGTTTGATATTTAGGTAGATTTGGTTAGAAGGGTTATTTTCGTATTAAATTAAACGTATCAGTTACGTGTTTTTTTTTACCAACATAAACATCTTTAAGTCTGTGTTGTTGCATTAGCCTGTGAAAAGAAAAATATGGAACTCTAGGAAGTAGTTTCGGGAGTAAAAACAGCCAAATGCATTGTAAAGGGCAGAATAGAGCGTTGTCTTTTCATATATTCGACTACTATAGGGCGCCTAAGAGCATTCTACAAAAGAAATACCTGCATTGAGATTCAAATATAAACAAGTGAGAACGTTTCTTCCTTATATATTTCAAGGTTAAAATGCTTGCCATATGATGATAGGAATCTAAATCTATTTAACAATGCTTGGGGTTATTGTAAAAGTATCCTTGCACAATTTGTGTGTTATTAAAGCTTCGTCGGTTCTTAGCGCAAGTTCTCCGCGAAAATCAAAATCGAACATATTTGTATGACGTCTCGAGACTATATATTATCTACATTTGTTGCAATTTGTTTCAAATCTGCTTGTCAAAATGTATGTCCTACGTGTTTCTATTTTCAGGTATCAAGTGGGGTGGGTGGCGCTGGGGGTGTGTCGGACGGGTCGGAAGGTCGTGAAGGGGCGTTGGGTAGTGCCGAGCGTGAAACAGGCATCGTCGAGAAGTTACTTAGCACCTATGGATTTATTCGGTGCTGTGATCGCCAGGCGAGACTCTTTTTCCATTACTCGCAGTTCAGTGGGACAGTTGAACACCTTAAGGTGGGAGACGCAGTCGATTTCGAAATGACTTTCGACAAAAAAAGTGGCAAACCTATCGCTGTCGCTGTGGCAAAGCTCTGCAGTGATCCCACCCTCGGCATGGGACACCAGCTCGTACAGGGTAAGTAATCTCTATATAAGCACTCTCAGCAGGTAGCCTTGTTAGCCGTTAGATGCTTTGAGAATTACATATTGGTCGATTTATAGATATACGCGTTATGAGCGACCTATATTCTAAGAGACGTACCTTAAAAAAAAATCTAACTTCGTATTTGAGGAAATATTAGAAGTCTTGCAGCTAATGATTGAACAAAACGTTGTTGGTATGTGCTGAACCTTTTGGTATTGGATACTACAACAAATATCTAAACATTCGTTATTGGTAAGACCCAGGACCTGCTGATGTAAGTCGTGCTGATTTAAAATTCTCGTTTCAGTTTTCATGGTAGTATTTTGAACGAATGGTACAAGGTTATGCTGATTTAGGTGCCATGTTGATCTATGTATTGGTTGAAGTATTTTGAAGCATTTCTGTTAACACAAATTGCATGTCATATATGAGCAGCTCGTGGTCTAAGCAGAGATCCCTCGGAGTGCTATCCAGGTAGTCTTTCTTGGCTGATTGAGTCACAGCCACAAAGTGTTCGATGTTTCTTTATAAAGAAAAATCTGCATTCGCATCACTTTTGTTCTACAAAATAGAATAAGCAAAGACAACAATTATTGCAATATCCACAATAATGTCACTTTTAATTGATCGTATTCAAATACAGTGATTACCACTTGGCCAAACGGAGTAAGTGACACCTTAAAGCTGAAACAGTGAATCGAAATAACTAACTTGTACGGTTATAATTGCTTGTCGTATGAAATTCTCTGAGTGTACCTCTTTAGCCAAATTTCCTATTTATGTATATCCGTATCTTTAGGTGTAGTGACGTCAGAACTGAACTCTGAGGGTCGCGAGGGGCGAGTGGCATACGAGAATTGTGGAGAGTGTTTCTTTTTCGAGTTCACCAGAGATGATCTGGATCCGGCGGGAGAAACGCCAACACATGGGCAAACCGTGCAGTTCGTAATCACGGCAGACGGTGCAGGCAACCTGCAGGCTGGACAAGTACGTCCCCTAACGGCGCACGCACAAACTCCCGCTGCTCTGGGAGCACCACATCTCGGTCCCCAACATCAGCAAGTGCCCCAACAGCAGCAGTACGCCATTGCGACGCCTATGGTCGGAACCGTGTACCCGGGTGGTGTTGTCTTGCCAGTGGCTACAATACACGCTACCCAGATGCCATTGCTCGGTCACCCACATGCTCACCAGGTGCCTGTCACTGTCACACCGTTTCCTCCACACGGCGCTCAGGTCAGAATCGTCAAAATCGTTACGGAAGGAGCATATATGCTTAGGATTACGGATATAACTTGTAGCATACTTAGGTAGCTTTTGATGTGAATTGTACCTTATTCAAGCTAAGCGAAACAGATGCTTCGGGTTTGACGTCCGGAACTGCGTAATCATGATTTTATTTTCTTTATCACGTCTGTCTCCAACATCGGCATCCTTCAGGTTATTCACGTGGTGAACGGGACGCAACCCGCGCCGATGGTGAACAGCCGCATGCTAACCGGATTGAACGGCAACCTGCGCGACAGCGGAATCGAACAAGCGATTCCCCAGGCCACTGGCGTCGTCAAGTCTGTCCAACAGCCACAGCAAACGGCAGTTGTAGCTCAAGCCCATACTACATCAACAAGTCAAGCAGCAGCAGCAAGCACTCAGCAGCACTTCAGCGGACAATCGACGAAGCATCATCAACAACAACAACAGCAGCAGCAGCAGAACATCCATCAGGGTGGCGCTGCAGGCGGGGGCGGCCAAACGTCAAATAATCAAAACACAAGTCACCAACAAACACATCAAGTTCAACAACAACACACTCAACAGTCTCAACAACAACAAGCACAACAACAGCAACAGAATCAGAAGCAACCGCAGCAGCAGCAACCCCAACAGCAGCAACCCCAACAGCAGCAGCAACAGGTGGCGGCGTCTGGTTCGCCCTCGCCGCAAAAGGCCCCGAAGGGGAAACGTGGGCCGCGAGGTGGTGAAGCCCAAGATGACGATGCCCAACAGGCGAACGGAAACAGCGGTGGTCGCTATCAGGGCGTCGTATGTACGCTCAAAGAGACGTATGGCTTTGTGGAACGTGCCGATGTCGTCAAAGAGATTTTTTTCCATTATACCGAAGGCTATCAAGGTAGGTGCAGCCAGGTATGTAGAGGCTAGCAAAATGGAAAATTAAAAGACAAGATTTATATTCTTGGCAACATAGGGTATTATTCTTGCGTTAACAATGCAGTTGAGGATTGTACTCAATTTGGGTATTAAATCTCAATGGGTTAATTGTCTTGTAAACGTATTATTTTTTTGCAGGCATCTCGTTAGGTGATGATGTTTCCTTTGACATTTCCATGAGGAATAATCGGGAGGTGGCCGTTAACCTACAACGTCTTCCTAGCGGTACTGTCGTCTTCGAGGACCTTGAAAATTGTATTCGCAGGTAATTGTATTCCCAAATATTATCACTACGATGAGCAACATATCCTCGATTTGAACCGCAGGAGAACCATATTTCACGTTTTGACTCTGCATTTGAAGAAACTGTAATGTAACGTATATACAAACTTATGACTTATGACTTAGATAAGTAATTTGACAGAATTATTAAACGGTATTGACTCGAGCTTTCATTTCACCCTAATTTATTAATTAGTGGAAAGAAAACTCAACTGATCATCAAAATCTTAAAGACAAAAAAGTATCTGGAATCACGATTTTATTGATTTATTTATCCTCTGCTGCCCAATTTTTCGATGTAGGCTTTGTCTAACGTGTTAGAAATCACTGTGTGCATCTTTATGCCGTTATTCCAGAGGTTGGATTTCGAAATTACCTAATCAGACAGAGGAGCCCCTGGACGGGCGAGTTAAGTATGAAGACAACGGTGGTACTGAGAAGGAGGTGGGCTTCGGTGACCGGGATTTGGCGCCGCTCATGTGGACAGTGCAAGTCGGTGATCCAGTTGACTTTCAGCTGGCGACTGACCGTCGTGACGGGTTGAAGCGAGCTACTAATATTACAATGGCTGTGACTGCGCCAACGGCGTTTGCGAAAGAGAATCGTTTGTCAGGTACTGTTGTCGCGCTCAAGGAGAACTTTGGCTTCGTTAACTCCGAGCAAGGCAATGTCGAGTACTACTTCAAGCTCAGCGAAGTTCTCGATCAGGAAATTCGAATTGACACTACTGTACAATTCTCGCTTGCAGCCGACCACAATGGCCAAAGGCAGGTCGCCATACGTTTGTGCAAAGTGCCGACGCCGGGTGGACAGACCCAATCAAATAAAAAGAAAACTAATAGCAAGAATGCATCTGTCAACAACAGCGCCAAGTTTACTCATCGCGGTTACATTGTGGCATTAAAGGAGCAATTTGGCTTTATCGAAGCTGAAAACCGGCAGGAGGATCTATTCTTCCACTACTCGATTTTTGAAGGCGATACGAAGGATATGAATGTTGGCAGAGAAGTCGAGTATGGCCTATCGACAAAAAATCAACGCCAGTGTGCCGACTGTGTGCGACCCCTTGAGCGTAATACCGTGCCCGGCATAGAACTAGTATCAAAAGATGTTTACGCCGGTAAAGTTGTGCGCTCGTTGCGATGCTTCAACCCCGACCAAGAACCATATTGTGGCCTCGTACAGCTAAAGCCTTCACCCGAAGAGGCCAAGGAGACGGACGAAGCTGACCCGAACGCCAATGGGGATTCTGACACGAACAGCAAGGAAACTCCCGCCGAGTACGAATTTAGCGTGATGTCACTATCGAAGAAGGGTGAAGTTGTGCACAAAGGAAACTCCGTTTCATTCCAGTTAGCAGTTTGCAAGGTCACCCAGAAGGTTATGGCCGTCAACGTCAAAGCTGTCCGAGAAAGAAAGACCGGTACCCTTGGTTCTCTGAAGGGCCAATTCGGCTACCTCAACTATGAGGCGGAAAAGGGCGCAGAGCCGAAGAAGCTGATGTTTTCACTCAGTGAGGTGCGAAATGGGTCAAACTTGCAGGTTGGCGATATCCTGGAGTTCGATTTGGTGCGCACTGGCCGCAACAACAAACAGGTGGCAATGAACGTGAACCGCATCAAGGAGAAGGGGAAGGGTGCTACCCCACGTCCAGCAGCACTTGTAAATCGGATTAAAGCAATGACTTTGTCTGATGACGGGCCTCGTGTCATTGCTATCCGCGCACCAAAAGGACCCGATGGATCGCGCGGTTTCGCCCTGTCATCGGCAGCAGCCGTTCCCGCTGTCGCCTAAGCAACGAGAGAGCTACTCACCGGTGTTAGTTCACGTAAAAACGTATTATTATTACTACCATTACAATTAATACACCCATTTAGGGCTTACGTAACCTCGCAAGGCTATGATTTACGCGTGACATCGTCCCAATGCTATAGCCCTAACTTAAATAGATTGTTGGTGCCGTAAAGCTTTTTTCACCGTTCATCACTATCTGTATGATCACGGCAAGCCAATTAATAAAAAGAGAAGTTGTGTTAATATCGGAGCGTGATGCGTAGGAGCGCAACGCTGTCCCCCTATGCTCAACGTAATAACGTATAGGATATATGACTGGGTAGCTTTGAAAAATTGCGTGAAGGCAGCAGACGAAGACAGGAGAAAGGGAAGAAGGAATGAAAGATAATCGATTATTCTACCTAAAAGGCAAACGAGTGAGCGAAGGAGTTTTAGGGCAAACATAAACGAAAACTGACATAAGTACTATTGTTCGCCATTGTAGGCAGCAAACGCAGGCAGGCAAGCTTGCACGAAGTTAAAAAAAGGGAAGCCTCAATTTTCAAGTGATTATTACCGATCCCTCAACCGCCAAGTTCGCAGCAATTGAGCCAGCATTGAGTGTGAGGAAAATAGCGCAGACACTGCGAGTCAAAAACAATTGTAGGCTTTTAGCGGCGGCACGGGGGAGACGTTTTGCCAAGCTAGGAGTGGGTTTAAATTTAAAGAAATGAATCACTTTTACTTACTTGCTTACTGCCTAAACACAGCCTGCAGGGAAACATAGACAATTTTCAATGCCTAATTTCGGACCTTATAATTTGCTGAATATATTTCCCGCTCGATGATGTATGCAATCCCAGAGTCTCAAATAACCTCTGGCATCATATACTGGAAAGACAATACTGACGCAAATTGCTTTGGCAACTACCGTAGAAGATAGTGTAAGAAACTAAAAGTAAAATGAAAGCGAATTGATGACTACTTATAGCCGATGTGGCCCGGGCCAATGTATGTGCTCTATTTACTCTGCTTTTGTCTCTGGCCCGATGGCCAGGCGTTTATAGATGATATACTGTAAGAGTACTACTTCTAGCAGCAATTGATAGTCCTTCCAAGGCCTACTGATAATAATGATCACGCCCTTTTGGCTTTTTTCATATTCCTGTTCAACTTCGATTGATGAACGTTGATTTTGTTGTTACTTCCACATTTACTGCAATTTGAACCATTGCTACAATAAGATTTCGAACCATCTATTGTTCTACGATAATGACAATGAAGAATGTTTGATGATAATTGAAGTTTCTAATAACAATACTTTTTTTAGCACTCGATAATAGTGAGTGAGAGATGGTCGATTGGCAATAGCAGTTCTGTCGACACACCATAGTAGTACTGAACGATCTATTCATCTTGAGTAATGGGTAATAATTAATAACCATGAGAACTTTAAGTATAGCAGCAGTTACGAGAGCATAAAGGAAAGAAAAAAGCCGACAAAGAGAATAGAGAAAAAAAAAAGCAAAGAAGTAACATTGCAAAAGACCTATAACCGAATTTTGAAGTTCAGAACAGAAAAATGCGCATGCAAAACACAAGCAAGCAAACCGAGCAACAAAGCCAGGAAGCAGACAATTGCAGTTATAAAGAAATCACAAAGACAGAGCAGGAGGCGCTAGCTAAATCAACGTATCTCGAACACGCCGGATAGATGGGACAAAATAAAGTAAAACAAAAAAAAACAGGCCAGAAAATGCATAATAATACAATGTGAAAAACCGGTAATTATAAATGTAGAAAAAAAAACGGAAACAAAAGCAAAAAAAAAGCGAAACAGAAAAAGCGTAATAGAAATAAAAAAAAAAAATCCTTTATTAAAACTCTGTAACGGACAGACGGACTGAGAGCTTCAGCGCTGATCAGTGGACGACGACGACGACAAACGACGATTAATTAATATTATTTTATTATTATTATTATTGCAATAATAACGAAACATTTTCTATTTGCGATCGTTGTTTGCAATGAAAGGTGGTGCAAGAGCAAGTACTAAAAAAGACAAGATTACAATAATCGTATAATAGCAACATACGCATGAAGCACAAATCTGATGAATGAACGAGGATCGCTACAATTATTATCTTGGCTAGAAATCCTTGTTTGACTGACCAGTAATTTTTTGTCATTATTTATAAGGCCTCCAAGTACCATCAATCGTACTATGTATTACGTTGTAACTTACTCGCTGTCATGACAAGACTTCGACTTTACTCGAGCTATTACTACCCGAAAGTTATCGCAATGGTGGTAATAATTACTTCTATTTCCATTATTATTTATTATAATGTACGACTACTACTCTACTGTTCCGGATGATACAGTGCTATGGATGAAGACTCATGATGTGGAGTGAAGCTAATAACGATGAACCGAAGAAAACTCTGATGAAGAGTAAGAAGACGACGATGGTAATGATGATGTCTAGAAGCTATGAAGAAGATGTGAAACTGCAAAGAAACAGAAAACAGAGGAGAACTTAGAGTTATATTGTGGAGGCGGATGAGGACAGCTGGATGGGGATATAAAAGAAAGGGCTAGAATTTCAGAAAAGTGTAGAGCCGTTGGATAGGCGAGCAGTCCTTTTGAAATGGAGACCGTCGTAGACTTAAAAGGGGTTCAGCAAAAATAGGCCAATGAAAATTAGTGTATCATGACAAAAATATGGGGGCCGAGCATGAGTGGCAAAAGCGACGTGAGAAAATTGACGATGGCAACGTTAAGAACTACCACGACAACAAAAGCAACTAAAAACGACAGAATACAACCAGCTGACATAACTAACAAGAACGTAAAAAAAAGCAAGGAATTAGAAGAAAAACGACAAACAAATAGTGAACAAGAAATCGTTAAGCGAAAAGCAACAGGAAAAATAAACTGTTGGGGATCAACAAAAAAAAGGGAAAATAGGGGGAAAGACGAGAATGAGACAAAACAATTTGTCCCCAAATAACCTTGCCAACGTGATATTTGGAGAATAATAAACATTCGACATTTGTCCATGTGTCAACTATATTCGTCACTGCATTTATTTAGTCAGGTAGTTTCGTCATAGATGATTGATTAAAACAAGTTATATTTTTATTTTATAAGTTTATCTTTGGCAGTTTGATTAAGCGTCAAAGGAGCGTAGAAATGATAATTCCGTAGACAGAAGTAAAGGTGCTTGCTTAAGGATATGGAAATAATAATAAGTCAGGTAATCGAAGTTAAATTACTACCCATGTAATTTTAGTGGTGTTGCTTTCACGTCCATTTTAAAAAAGCATCAAATAAATCACGCAAATATGTACATATTTTTGACCGCTTGTTGATCGTTCCTTTTCCATCCTTTATGGTTTCAACAATTCCAACTTAACCAAGTAGCACTCCAAATATTTCGAGCTGTGGGTCAAGTACTTCCATTAATCATTGCTTCAGAAAAGCAACAACAGTATAGAATATAGTTATAATTTGTATACTTCATTCTTCATTAGACTTTCTACCTAATAGTAATTAATTCAGTAAGATTAGCAGTGACATTTCCTATTATTTAGCATTATTTAAATAAATAAAGCTAAGCTTTTATTTCGTGCCCAAGCACTGCTTTCCTTAGCCAAGATGACCGGATTTGCTCATTCTTGCACCTATTATATTAACGGCGTTAAATGAAGATTTGAAACAAATATAATAAATTATATTTGGGAGATAAGCGAGAAGCCCTGAACAGGAGTGAGACAACAAGAAGATGAACATTTTTCTTAAACTTTTAATATTCTATACAGTAAGTTTAATAGAATGTATCCCTGTATTCATAGAACCATAAAATTATAAACCCATTCGGCAGTTCCCATCTCGTTAAAGGTCGAGTTGCTCGTTGATTGTTTCGTGCGTTTTACCGATATCATTTGATATCTAATGATGCAAACTAATTATACTTGATTGTATTGCAGATGAAGTTGTTTGGAATTTTATACATAAGAGCATTTCTTGAAACAGGACCTGGACAGGAAACCGTGAGCTGGACTAAGCGTCTCCAAAAGAATTCTTCACAATGTTTTCCGATGAAAGCAATTCTATTTACTCAAAAATAGAGTTTTACGTGCTTTCTGAAAAAAAAAAATTAATAGCTTTGTTCTTGGGTATAAAACGAATATATGAATATCGTTTACACCAAGTTTTGCGCCAGATTGCCGTTTGAATGGCGACGATTTCTCTCAACAACCGTTACACTGAAATGTGTCTTAGCCATTATGAATTTGTAGACGAAGTATAGATATGACTGTATGGAAGATGCTTGAACTTCCAAACCCCTTCAAAGTCTAAACTCACTCTTTTCTTTTACTTTAACTTCCAGTTATATAACGAAATCAAAATTGGCCAAAGAATATGTTCTCCTAATCTTCCCGACACATTGAATTTCTTCTTCACCCACCCTTTTGCTTTTTGTGGCTTTTGAGCCTTATTTGATACATCTCTACATCTGCAAATACAGCTAATAGTGGTCTGAAATAAGTTTGCTAAGTAAACTATATCAGTAACATCATTTAATTGAACTTGCATCTCACAGCACTGTCCTGATACATATACCGACTTATCAAGTCTTTCAATGCCCCAACGCTCGATAAGATTTTATGTACGAAGTTGTGTTTGTGACGAATCCTAGGTAATAACCTGCAAATAATCCGTAGTCGCTGTATCATAGAAATCCCTTAACTAGGCTAGTACCGTGTAGACGATCAGCTTGCCAAAACGAAGTCTGGTCGATTCTAACAAAAGCGTTCTCATTCCAACCTTTCGGATTTAGCAGATTGAGATCTTGTAAGAATCCTAGTGTTCCTCTGTTTTATATAACAAAACTTTTCAATCTTCCGTTCGTATTGTAGGTCCATTGTGGCAACACTTTGTTGCGATAAACTATCTGTTAAACCTTCATAATGATCACTATTGCCAATTCTTATTAAGCAAGGTCGGTAGCAAGATTTGTTCGGTCTCCACTCCAGCTTGAATATGAGACGTGCACCTCGAAAATGTATGGGATATGGTAAATGTCTAATAAGTGATTTATTAGTGGGCTTGTGATATTGTATTAAAAAGGTAAGAATTAATTCGTAATACTTCAGTGTGTGCTATAAGAGTGTCCACTACCGTAATATTTATGACTTGCGATTAATGAAGTATTTACCAAACGTTTGCGCGGTTCAAATTTCGCACCTATAGGCATCAGTGTAATATGAGTCAGTGCCGCCGTCAAAAACCTGCAGAAGCCGTTGTCATCTAAAGTAACCTGATACAAGCTCAGACTACCTAACGCTTCAACATGTTTCAAAAGATTATGGGGCAATTGTCACACTATACCATCATAAATATAAAGCAAATTAGTTTGCTAGATGTTCGACGATATAGTCTACTTTAAATAGAAAAATTATCAAACTCGGACTTAATATTAATTACTCTTCCTTTCGGTTCCAGTCGCAGTTTTCCCTCGTATACCTGTCCGTTGTTTTTTTCTAACTCCTCTCACCCTCACAGTCATCTCCTACGTTGTATCATTTGTTCGACCTCTCACTTTTTCGATAAAAAACGTTTTCAGGCTAAGCCTGCGCAGCAGATCCCTCAGCTAGTTGTTTTTCAGTTTTTTCCGAGCAACACATTAAGCGACACAAAGACAGAAGAAAGACATACGGTTTATTTGTTGTAACCTTTACTTTAAGTGTTTAATGAGTCGCGGTACAGTAGTATAATTAGTGGGTGAGGGCGTGTGGTGGAGGAAGTTTTGGGCGGATAAAGATTTACTGCACCTGCTACCGTTACAAATATGAGATGCAGGCCGGCAATAACATTAAACTGATCATGCGACTTATTCTATTTCCTGATCCTTAATTTAAGCTAGCTAAATTAATCTGGGTACCCTACGATTTAAAATTATTTTGCTGATTGGCGTTGTAACGCATCGTTTCAAGGATCATGCAAGACACCTGCAACGTACGATTGTCATTCGTTGTTACCCAGCCCCTTGCCAGCTGGCGAAATCCTGTCTCTGTCACTCAAGTAGCCAGCATTTAGCTCGCTAGCAGGTCAACGTAAGGTTGATACTTAGGCTACTGACGGAAGCTACGTGAGACCGGGGCAGAGAAACAACTGACAATAACATGAGCGGTATTAAAAGGAACGAGAGCTCGAATAACCGAGGAGAAATGCAGATACTGACGGAACGAAACGTACTGTAAGAAGCGGACAGAGGCCAACATCGCACAGAGGTTGACTTATTTCTCAATTAAGGAATAGAACCGAGAAGCCACCCTTTGCTGCTGCTGTTACTTCCCCCACCCCCTGTTATTGTTGTTGTTGGTACCGTTAAGGTATCTGGCGGGCTGACATGTATTGCTTTCTCATAAAATTGCTGCAGTCTATTGTTTATTCCCCGTCGCCGCCGGCCGGTTTGCGTTTCGTGCTTCTTTCCCATGTTGTTGCTTCCTTGCTTGCCCATGAGTCCAAATTCGAGGCCGGCTGCTGCCTTCCTGGATCAGGCCTACTTGTCTATGCTGCTGCTGCCGCCGCTTTTGTGTTTGCTTGAAACGAAACAAAAGCCGGGCTACAACAGCGGCCGCAGCCTGCTTGATAGCGTTCGCTGCTCACTGCACCCGAAGCCGTGTGCGGTGAGCGCGGCACAACTGGGCGAGGGTAGTCCGGCAACACACGGCTGCCGGGCGATAGACAGTCGTCGGCCCGCTGCCGCCGCCGCCGCTGCTCTGCTGCTAACATCGCCGCTGGTGGCGAGTGAGAGGGCACCACGAGCAGGGTGGGTCAAACGGTAGCGCGACCGCGGTAGAACGACGGCACGGAGCTCCGCAAGCGATCGCTACTGCTGTTGGCGTTAGAGCAAGCGCACGTTCTCGAAACGATCAGCAGCGCAGCGGTATAGCCGACCCACCGCCATCTACTCTCGAACAAGCATCAACAATTACTAAAGCTCGACTGCGAAAATCTTTATATTAACGAGAAAAGTAACAGCTGCAGAAAGCTAGTCATAGTCGGGAAGCACGAACAGTCCAAAAACAATGCCAAGATATCCGCCTTATAGCAAGTAAATATTCAGGGAAAGAAGATAGGCCAATGAACCAAGTATCAACAACACCAAAAAAAACATCAACAAATACCAAGTGAGCGTGCGTGGCGACTTGTGTATGTGTCAAGCATCATAGAAACAGCTGCATAAGGTACGTTAGAAATAGATGATTGCTGCGAAGGAGACGTCCGGATATCTTTCCGAGTTCTCTAATGAGACAGTAGCAAATTGCTAAGTAGCTGATAGGACTTGGAGGTTAGAATACAAAAAAAAAACGTATTGACGAGCTCCGGAGTACAAGAAATGCATGCAGGTGACGGCAGCTTGAAGTTAAGATGTTGACCGCGTGTTATCGTCGGTTAAAGCTCAGACGCTCATGTTCGATTCAGCGGGTGTTTAGATGCAGTTACAACAGTGCTCCCATGTTTACTCTAGCTATTCCTATGACAATGTAGAGCCGAGCCGTATTAGCGTGCTTAGTGGAGACGGAAACAAAACGAAATAAGCAGCAAGGTCAGGGGTTTGTGTGGTTACATTCAGATCAGCTGCTAATTTTGAGGCCAAGTGGGTGAAGAGAGGAGTTCAGTCAACATAATAACAACAACAACAACATAAAGCGTACCAGACATACGGCGTTAAAGGATCGAAGGAAGGAAAACAACGCCAATAGTAATACGAGTGGGAGCGGCTAAGGTAAGCGAGAAGACGAGAAGCTTGCCAACGCGGCTCAGAACTGAGTGTAAATGGTTGAATACGCTGGATCTACCCGGATGTTTATGTAAGTTGTCCTGTGCTAATGTGATCTAATATTCATTTTGGGTTTTTTGTCGCCTTCGAGAAGTAACAGTAATAGTACTACTAAGACGTTTTCTCAGCACAGCTGAAAGTCTGACGTTCTTCTTGACTATGCATACGCGCCCGAAGTCATTATAGTGAACAGCACATGTTCGTCAACCAATCATTGGTTTCAGTAGCCCCGACGTGTTCGTAAGCCTCAACCTCGTACATACACACAGACAATGACTGGATAGTTTGTCAGGTTTGCTAAAAAGCATCACATTATTACATCGAATGACTGCGATACGCCAGGGATATCGTGAATACTTTAGCTCGCCGATAATAGTGTATGCTCTCGTAGTTACTGCCTCGGCATTTACCACTATCTATTGACAGTGACTCGTACTCTGTATCTGCTGTGTGAAAACGCTAAGTCGACCCAGACCGAGCAAGGTGTTACGCTTTGCTAAACTGTGCGACGAGCAGTAGATATTGCACAGGATTTCACGGGGGTGGATAACCTACGAAGTCTCACAAATTCACTGGCAACAAGTTGGCCAGCTCGGAATATAACTAAGCACTTCTCCAAATCGAGATCTGCCGGCGAGTGTAAATATCTAGTGAAAGCTCTCTTTATGTCCGGAAAAATAAAGTTTGCCACATTGCACTGTAGCACTGAGCTTCGCTGTTTTGTAGAGGATTCTTTTGCCTATTTGGAGTCCGAGTACAACGCCGGTCAACGCATCGAGCCAGCCAAACAATCAAGCAACCTTCACGTTAGCTAACGAAGATGCTGCTGACCAGTACACAACAGGCAGGCAGGCCTGTACCACATGTGACTGTAAGAGCCGCAGGACAAAAGGACCAAAGGAGCTGAGAGGTCCATCCATGTCGTGCTCACAGTTTCTTGTTGATCGAGCCTTAAATACAGAACACTGCCTGTACGCCCATCTCGGTATATATGCCTATGTATATATATACACATATAGGTGTATAGACTTACGAATGTAGAATCAATTACAGTGTTGCTACAGCCGCAATTAACCCGTACAGTGATGTGATTAACAGCTTCCGAGTGAATTCATTTGTATAGGTGTTGATCTTGTTTTACGCGTGAAGCAGGAAGTATCATTGCTCGCTGAAGGTTTGCTGTTATTCCATGCATGTAATACAAATCCGTACACATCTATGAGACAAATTCTTCATATTGCTCTATGAGATAACTTCTAACGCAGAACAAAAGCACAGCAGCGCCATATAAAACGCAGTGCCATCTCTGCATCACTACGTATTCTGCTGTATTTGTGAGCATGTTTGTGTGTGTCAGATGTCGGAATTAGTTGGTCTTCTGTTGTTTCGTCTGATTGAGCCCCACTGTCGCTCTTGTTGCTACTGCTTCTGATCCGAGCTTCTACAAATGTTGTTAGCTCTATAGCTATTACAACTACAAACATTGCTAGGTTAGCAAGCTGAAATGATGATGAGGAAAAGAGGCGAGCCGATCAACTGTCGAAGTATGTGCCGATCGCCAACAACCGGCGCCAAATGACACTTTCGCATGTGGCGGTTTTTGCCTCTTATGTCGCTATCGTTGTCAACGGCATACAGCAACAAGTTGAACAACAGCAACGGCGTTGTGGTTAACAGAGCTGGTTGTCACTTTCACTGTTTGGTTGTTCATTCTTGTGTCGATCTCCTCACTCTACAGTAGTCATTGCTGTCCTTGCGTCGTGACGACAGGCCGAGGATCCTCCGCTATTTATAGTGTTGCTGCTGACCTTGCCGTTAGCAGTGTATCTTTGGGTAGACCATTGTTATTGCCACTACTACTGCTGCCTCAACTGCTATATGGCAAAGTGACAAATCAGGCTCGAATCGATTGCTGCTGCTCGAACTGCACCTTCCCGCCAACAGGTTCACGCATCAAAGTCCGCCGCCGCGCCTGCTGCTGCTGCTGCTGCCGCCGCCGCCGCCGCCGCCGCCGCCGCTGTCGCCGTCGCCGTCTGCTCCTTCTCAGAGATGATTTTGATGACTAAAATTACCAAAGCCACGACCATCATAGCCACGCTCATCCGCCAAAGTCGTCCCGTGCTTGTTGTGCCACCGATAACTGTATAAGGAGGGCGCGCGGTTTCGGGGTCTTCTTCTCCATCGTCATCAAAAGTGCAGTATTCGCCGTCGGCAGACTTCCCCTAGGGAACTGTCGGCTGCGAGCGGTCAGTTGCCTCTATCTCGACAGTTTCTAACGAACAAACAAAAAAGACAACAACAAAATGGCAAGAGACCGCTCGAATATAGAACGCACCATTACTATTCGTTGATCGCTTGAGTGTGCTGCAGCAGTAGCAGCAGCAGCAATTGCAGCCGGTGGCTGTCGCTATTTATGATCGGCAAGTTCGTACCAAAAAAAGTAAGTTCTGTTCGGAAAAATCCGTCATTGTTGTCGTCAGCCGTTGGCAGTAGTCGGTACACTAGAAACTGTGGATTACGGAAAGTCTTATGGAAAGGATTACACGCCCTGGTAATATTTTATATTATCGAATTAATGCACCTGTCGATGAAGTTACTGAGGTTGTTACCGTTTCGTATTGTTTGAATGGACAATGGAAAGGCAACGTGACTTATAGCAGCAGCGCAAGCGCGGTAATAGATATTTTAAAGAGAAAAATAATAACGGGTCCTCAGTGTTGAGCTTAATTGGTTTATTAGGCGATTATATGGTGCAGTGTGTAGACATGCATCTTGCTGTTCACCTGTGGAAATATGCTGTCAGGAAGTGAAGTGAGTGCGGGCAAATTTAAACTGGTTCAATCTCGAGAAATCGACTGGAAAGGTGTCAAAAGCCAAACAGTGGAGTGTGCTAATTGTCACGTAAACGTTGTGTATATGTAAAGTCTTATTGTTGTTGTTGTTATTGTCGTCGGTATTTACAATAGACGCAGTAGCGATAGTGATTCGATACTGATAATAATATTAAAAGGCGACTATAAATAAGGAAGAAGATGGAGCGGCGTGGTTACTCAGGAGGCAAGCGCGAGCGCGAGCTTCTGCTCATCTACGACAACCAAGTGAAAGGTACGTTGCTATTCATAACAACGAGATCAACAATTTACACACTTTTATCATTAAAAACGCATCACTATGCTTAATTATTAATTACACAAAATCAAATAAACTTATTGCTAATACATGTCAAGTTATTAAGACAATTATTTACCTATACTCCGGCGTTGACAGTTCAGCTCACGATGTTGCTTTTCGCAATTCCATTCTGCATTAATGCAATTGTTAATCCCGGTAAAAAGTTGACATGTGTGGTATTACCTAAGCCGATGAAATACTGTACCATTATAAATTTACTGCCAGACCCATTCGTCATTTGCGTCCTACATTCGTCATTTTTTACACCAGTAGCGCTTGATGTATTCGACCTTTGTGTCGGATTCCGCTTATGTTAGATGAACTGGGGTGATTTTAAAAAAACAACCTGTTTTTTGAGATGTCTATACAATTAAACATAAACCTGTTTTTGAATCACGGGAGTCATAGGAGGTGCAAGATATAACTAGAATTAAGAGCTTTGGCCATCATATTGGCATATCCAATTGCTTGCGTACCGTTTGACATTTTGATTGAAAAACATTACATCTACATTATTTTCATCTTTAAATTCATTTCTTTATCCACGAGGCTCTGTTATTAACGCTATTCCGTTGAGTTACGTATGGGAAGAGGAGGGTAAGAGAAAACATTTCTTTAGGAGTATTTGGTCTATACTTCCATCAACAGTTCGCACTACTACTGAAGCTATATGCTTCTGCCTTCTGGAGAACAACAAACGCTTTGTATTGAGCGATCGTTTCGGGTGGGCATGATCACTGTACGGACATTAGAACAGTAGCCACGCTCCGTGTCAACGGAGGCAGCAAGCAGACAGCAGGGATGAAGCGTTGACACCCCATTGTGCGCTACCGCCAAAGCAGAAGGAGTTGAGAATGCATCGGAAACCGAAGGAGAAAAAAGGTGCGAGGGAAAAGGACTTCCGACGTTATTGGTTCATCCGACCTTATGGGAATGAATATGATCCAACCAGTTTTTTCGGCCAGCTTTTTCTTGCTTCGTTCGTCTCTAAACACTTGTTGGAAACGGAACACAGAATGGTCATCAGAAAACTCGTATCGGTGGAGAGCCATTCGGTGACGTCGACGCTAAACGTTCCTATTTGGTCCTAATTATCAAATTAGACCTAGATAGTACGATGCTGGCACAGCATTATACATGGGCTACTCAGCGTCACTTAACTGACCTATGTCCGATCGTCAACGGCTAATGCAATGTGAAATTAAACAAACGTTCTCTAGCCTAGTTCATGTCAATGACGACTGTCGTTGCCTCTACAAAGCTTGCGGGCGAACTCACATATTTTGGCAGTGATGGTCGTGTCAGAACACACACCATGTGCCCGTCAGCCATTCTGGCATAGAAAAAAGCAGTGTATTGTTACACCTTTGATCAACCGCTACAACTGCTAACTGGGTCTGCATAGAGTGATGACCAAGCTACATGATGGATCATCGACCATTTTTCACAGTAGGCTACCTATCGCAGAGTTGTATGCTGTTCGTCAGGCGAGTTGCTGCGCCCAATAAGGAGTCATTTATTGGTAATAACGATCATGATGATCTTGTTATTGTCATCGTTTTTGCCGATTAATCTGGTATTCCGACAAGCATAAATCTCGACGTCCTTTTTTGGCTATGATAGTGGAGACATATAGTATAAATGCGGACATGCATATATTTGTAGAAAATTTATTATTATGGTGGAGAAAAATAAAATCCAAGCAGTGTATACTCTATCATGATTCATCATTTGGTCACTTTGAGACCCGAATTAGTGAAGTAGTTAGAGTAAGCAAAAACGACGAATGAGAATTTTAGAGCACAGTCTTCCTATACCACCGTCTAAATGAAATGAGCAGTATTTGCGTGCAGAAATTCGTAGGCAACACATAAACCTCCTTATTAAGATAATCATCTAACTGGGCCTCCTTTTACTTTTACGAAACTTTTTTTTAACTTTACGAAATATATGGACTTTTTATTGAGTCTAGTTATTGCTGATTTGATAAGCCACACCAGCATGGGTACTCAAAGATGGCTAACGATTTGTGTGATTAACGTCTAGCCATCAGAAATTGCAAAATTAGTAATAATAATTGCATTATTTAGGCAATTTCACGTCTATGCATGTAGTGACATAAGAAAAGATAAACTTTTTAATTATTTAAACAATTATTACCTCAGTCCCCGTGATTTTAATGTTTAAACAGCCCAATTTGGAAATTACTCTCCTTATAATTTCGGTCTTGATTACAACACGTTTTGCTTTTGGGATAAATTATTTTCTACTAAAAACTTACCTGAACTACTTTCTAATAGTATAGCAGTTGCATTTGACCCACTGTCACTAACAGCGACGTTTCAGTTGTTATCTTTAGAATCTTCGGCTGCAGCATTAACGGGGACGAAACTGGCTAGTCCCTCGGCAATACCTGTTTTACTTTTAAAACTCTTAATAGTTTTTTCTATTAACATAAAAACTCTGGGTGTTCCGAAGATGTCTGTCGTATTTAATTTTATCAAGAACATATGAGTGAGGCTTCCCTTCTATCTGTCCATGTAGAGAGCTTCAATATGTGTAGTGGGCTTCCTATTGCCTTAAACTTGAACGCAACTCCTACCGCCAAATACCTGTTGTTATAAGCGCTAAATAAAGGAAAAAACTGTCGAATATGGTTTGATTCTGAAGTCGAACAACATACCAGCTCGTAAAAATTTGAATTCAATAATTTTGCGAGTCAAGCAAGTAAAGTATACGTAAATAGTGCGTCTTGCGGTGAATGTAAACGATTGTTTGACACGAAGTACTATCAAAATGGCAAAAAGGAGTGTTAGTTGCGTTAAAGTGTATTCTAATGTATTGTAAATATACTCTTAACATGATTTCTCTTGAAACTCCGCTCTTAACCTCAGTTGTAAAAACATATCCTGATCTTAACGCTTCTTCGATTATATATGAGAACTACAATGAGAAGGGGCTAATTAGAGAATTTTATTCATCTGGCACTTAGTTGTTACCGGACAAGGAAGTGCTGCGCATTTGCCCTAGTGGCTTGCTTATTACAGCGGTGTTAGATCCAGACAGATCGTCAACACACGTAACTAATATTTCATATACATTTTTCAACGCATGTCTTCCTTGTTGATTACTATATTCGTCCTCTTGTCTATAGCGTTGCCGATGTTTTTGCGTTCAGTGGCCAACTTCCGCAGCAGTTCGCCATTACTGAGACTATGATTCGTCCTAACTGTGCAATGCAATTTCTTCGTGAAAATTCTATGTTGCAACTAACTCACCGACTCTGTAACGTCATAACATCTCTAGTACGTGTCTCTAGCGGAATGGAAGAGCGCAATTTGTGCTTGATTCAAAGCAGACACTCGCCTTATATAGCTATGCAGATCTCGGATTTCAGATGCGACGAGAGCTATAGGGACATAATAAACAGGCGGGTGAGAGCTCGGGATTTCAAGCAAGAGTTGTTCAGATGGTTTTTGCCCATTCGCTATACGCGAACTCAGACTTTCATCCCCAATTTCCGCACGCCCTAACGTAACAAGTTGCCGTAAACGAATAACGACAAAGCCATAAAACCTACGCTTAAGTTGTGCTTTGTATGTTATGTCTGTAGCCCGGCTGGGATGGTGTTTGTGGCCTAGTTCTATGATACTTCCTTTTCCCAGCAGTACGCAAAGCGTGTGGACTGAAGCAACATACACCAGACACCGGCATATTTAGATTGAGAACGTCAGCCAAAGGGCTTTATTTGCTAGTGGGGATAGTTTATTTGCTAAAGGTCAATAGCGTGCTTTTTGGTTTTCGTGATACCAGAACTCAAACGATCGTGCTGCTTTCCACTCCTGAGCTTTAATGTGTTCAGGGGCGCCAGACATATTGTAATTAAAAGGAATGTAAGAGGATGGAAGTGCGCGTAATATTAAAATCAGAGCTATCATAGGAACAACTAATTTTTGTAGTGGCCTTACGTAATGTGGACGGATGGAAGTCGATATTGTGGGCTGGCAATCGAGCGATGGCGTCAGATGCAGCAGATCCATCTTGCTTTGTCCTTCACCCAGACAAACCAAATTTGTAATTGGTACCTTATTTGACCAAGCTGCTGATTGCTCTTCATTATATGATATCAGGTCTTTCTTTTGCTCCTCATTCATTTACGCCACTCAAACGTCGAGCCACATACTCAACTGCGTCTTTGTCTTTATTCCTGTATAATCTAATACTGAATAATACGCCGTGGCCAGAGGGCGGAGAGAATTGCCCAGTACGAATGCGATCGTTAACCTGAGTTCCAATTTCTCTGATGCTTCATAGGCCGCCCACTGTAATAGTGTATAAAATTCATTCCCAATAGCAGTAATAATTTTCATAACATACTATGCCATAGTCAATACTGCTAGTTGATTTACGTGTGATAGAAGTAGTCCGTCTTTATGAACATTATTTACATATATACGCAATAGTCGAAGTAAGCAAAACGATGCCACGCGTAACTTGAATTACTTAAATATTTGTCACGTACATACATTGAAGTAGCAACTATAACTGTCTCCGCTGGTTGTCACATGAGGGTATATACAGATGTGTCTGATGATGCCAAGGATCATTAACGAGTTGGTCGCGTGTTTTAACGCGAATTCCTAATACAATGCGAGTATATTTTCACGGGCTCCTAATTTTAGTTTTTCCATTATTCAGTTAATAATGAATCTTCTATTGAGAAGGTTTATCGTATTCAGGTAAAATTTTTTACTTGATGAGGCATTATCCTATACATATCATTCGAACGACTAAGACTTTATTCGGGATGTTAGACGAAACTGGGATGGTTACATACTGATGATGAATGCAGCTCCGCGTGTGTAAGTTAACACGGAAACTGAATCTGAAGTAGAATTTAGCTCTGATTGAAGAGGCTCGTAAGGAAATCTAGT